GCGGGGGAGGGCACAACGGGACGACGGGCGGGGAGAGCGCGACGCGACGGGGGCAGGGGAAGGCGCGATTCGACGGGCAGCGGGGGGTAAAAACGCGACTCGACGGGCAGCAGGGGGAAAAACGCGACTCGACGGGCAGCAGGGGGGGGAAACGCGACTGGCAGCACGGGGGAGGGGGGGGGGAGAAGGTCCCTACGCTACGAGAGTAGTGGATCGGCGGAACGGGCGGTAACGAACGAACGCGATTAGAGCGGGCCGGCGCTAGGCTCGGGTAAGACGTGCGCAACTAGTACGACAGAGTGAGACATGCTCGAGCAAAACGAACGAGGTCGGGAGGAGCGGGATCCCACAGGATCCGAACCTAGGTGATACCATGTCAAGAAAGGAACTAATGATGTCATTGATGTGAGTTGGGGTACATATAACAAACCCTAACTTCTATACCCCCTAAGACAAACCTCACTAAGGCTACAACATTCGATACGCTGCTACCTGACTAGACGCAGTAACCGGAGGAGACGCAGTAGTCAGTGTGTACAGACTCGACCCAGGCCGACGGGTGAACGTGGCCAGGTGGCGGCCCGTCCGAGAGCAAGTGCAGTGGGTCACACGCTGACCTCCAGGGGTGAACTGGTCAACCCACAAGTCCTGAAGGTCAGCTCCACTCACCAAGTTCGTAGAGAACGAGGGGAGGTGGAGTCCCGACAGCAAGTCCGACAGGGCCGCAGGACACGGTACAACCGTGGAAGAGTGCGCAAGGACTGGGCCCCCAGAGGGTTCAGCCAGGGAGACTGCGACAGGCCGACTGAGCGGCGTGAGTGTGGTGCTGTCGCGAAAGAAAGAGCGCGAAGCACCAGAGTCAAGTGTGAAAGTGTGCAAGGCCTCAGTAGGTGCAGTACCAGAGAGAGCAGACTCACCAGCACCTGGAGCAGGAGACTCACTAGTACCTGGAGCAGTAGACGCACTAGTACCTGGAGCAGCAGACTCACTAGCACCTAGAGCAGCAGTCTCAATGCCCGGGTCGGGCGGAACACACAGGTAACAGTCACCCTCAGCACTATCAATCACAGCATACATGGCAGCAAGGATAGCATCGAAATCAAGATCAAAGATAGCAACATTCTGCTTAAGCAGATCACCCCAGCAAGGGAGCTCAACAGCGTCAGGAAACTGGGCGCGCCAGGCGTCAGTCAGGCGACCGAAGCAGCGCTGCGCAGTGTGTGGCAGCCCGCACGTCTCCCCACGGCGCCCGCCGGTGCGAAGAATGTAAGTGCAGGGACCAACACCCCCAGACCTCCCACGCCCAGCGTACCACTCACGAAGCTGCTGGGCCGACGGGGTCTCACGGGAACGCGGCTGCTGCTGGCGCTGGCTACCACCAAAGCCTCCACGCTGCGCGGCTGCACCTCGACCAGCACCACCGCCGCCGCCACCTCCACCACCGTTGCCGCTGCCTCCACCGCCGCTGCCGCTGCCTCCACCACCCCCACCGCCGCCACTGAAGCCCCCACTCCCGCCACCACCCCCACCTCCACCGCCACCCCCTCCGCCTCCTCCACCGCCTCCACCGCCGCCCCCACCGTCCCCTCCACCACCCTTGCCCCCCTTGCCCTTGCTGTTGCGGCGCCTCCCACTAGGAGCAGACGCAGCCCCGACCTCCTCAGTGCCAACGAGGTCGACAGCAGCAGCAGAAGCAACAGAGGGGAGAAGGGGGACAGGGGAACACCCCTCAAAGAAAGGGGCGCGAGGGTCGCCGCGAGAAGCACCTACGGCAACGATACTCTTCTTAGCTGCAGTGAGGCGCTCCTCTAGCAGGTCGACGGTGAGCTCGGTGGGGCAAAGGGAGAGAAAGTGGTCCCTGATTGAAGCAAGGGAGTTAGGGAGGCGGGTGACTAGGTAGTAAAGGGTGATGTACATGGGGGGGGGGGGGTTCTTGGCACAAAACTCAGTGGGAAGCGTAGTGCGGTAGCGGGCGTCACTAGTGCGGAGGTGAGTAATGAGGTCAGCGACTGTGGCAAAGGCGGCAAGGTCAGGGAACAAGTACGGCAGCATGAGGGGGCTGAGGGCAGCAGCGGCAGGGGAGGAGTAGTGCGCTACGACAGCCTCATACAAAGACTTAGCAGTCTTGTACTGGCCAAAGTGCGCGCGCTCAGAAGACGGCAGGTGACTACGAACAGCAAGGCGAGCAACAGCGTCACGAGTGGTCCACTGCGAGCAAACCGTACTGTCAGCAGTGGCAGCAGGTGCAGGAGAGGCACCGGACGTGTGATCGAAAAGGGACACTCCGTCCTTAGAGTCACACTGAAGAAAGAGCTGCAGGTCGTCAACCCACACGTCAAAGTCAACCGCACACCCCTCAGCATCAAAGGCAAGAACATTAGGGCTAGTCATAGCGGCAGTAGCAGCAGTAGTGGCAGCAGATGCAGCAGTAGCAGTAGGAGCAGCGCGGGCAGGGCAGTGCGGCTCAGTAGGGCGGCGCGGCTCGGCAGGGCGACGCGGCTCGGTAGGGCGGCGCGGCTCGGCTGGGCGGCGCGGCGCGGCTCCTGGCGGCGCGGCGCGGCAGGGCGGCGCGGCTCGACTGGGCGGCGCGGGTGCTTATCAAGGGCGGGTGCAGAGCAGGGCCGCAGCTGGTGGTTAGGTCAGGGCCGCGACTTGGCGGCAGCAGGGCAGGGCCGCTACTTGGCGGCGGTAGAGCAGGGCCGTGACTGGGGCGGCTGAAGGGCAGGGCCGCGACAGGGCGGCGGCAGGGCAGGGCAGGGCTGCGGCTGGACGGCAGGGTAGGGCAGGGCCGCGACGAGCAGCGGCAGGGCAGAGGCCGCGGCGGGCGGCAAGGTCGGGGCCGCAACGAGAGGCGGCAGGGTAGGGCCGCGACAGGCGGCTAGGGTAGGCCGCGACGGGCGGCAAGGCAGGGCTGCGGGTGGCGGCAGGGCAGGGCCACGACTAGGCGGCTAGGTCGGGGCCGCGACTAGGCGGCGAGAGGGCAAGGCCGCGACGGGCCGAGAAAGCAGGGGGCCGCGACGGGCCGTTAGGGCAGGGCCGAGAAGGCAGGGCCGCGACGGGCGGCACTAGGGCAGGGTGCGCGACGGCGCAGGTGAGGCAGGCGCGAGGCGCGCTTCGGGCAGGGCAGGAAAAAAAAGTTATTGTGGTGGGCCCTAAAAAAAAAACGTTCCCACGAGGGAACCTGCTTAGAATACCATCTCAGAATAGTGAAGGAAGGAATAACTGAACTAGCAAGCAGGTGGGTACAAGTAGGAAACCTAAAAGTGTTGCACCCTATATGAACTACCCCACTACAGCCTAGACAGACTATAGCATATAAGTTTGATAGCCACTCGAGCAATTATCACTGAATTGGATGGCCACGCGAGCAATTCGGGGACACGTGGGTAAGAGCGAATCACCAAACAAGGCCCTGGAGCAATTCTCTCTCCGCCATGCTTGGTGGTGACCTTGCTAGGACTAGTTACGGTAGGTTTCACTTGACAAGTTGTAATAATTCTTCAGAAAATAAAGACGATAGCTGAGAATACAGAGATGTAGGGATTGTGGAACTATTGCATTCTCTGCCTCTACAACATTGCGGGAAAATAGTGACGCCTAAGGCCCCGAGTCGCTTCCGCAGGGTTGCCCTCACATTCTTTTGCTGTCGCCTAGCTGACAACACAAGACAAGGGAAGGCCCAGAAAAATGAGATGCCAATCGGCGGAGGCGAGGCGACCGTTTTTCCTGCAACCTATGTTGCAGAATAAGGAAACAGAGGCGACCATTTCTCCACACATTGCCACAATGTTTCCTTAGTCTAGAAATTCGGCCAGAATGCGGCGTGTGTGTCGACGAATGACTTGCTGTTATCGTCTTTGCCCTGATTGACCAGCAACTTCCCCGCTTATCGTCGTTACCTCGTCCCTACACCAACTTCCCTGAAGCCACGCGGCAGCAGTTCACACATTCCCCCATCACAAGCCGTCCGATATTTGCCCACCACCGACGTTCTTAGCTTCATCGCAGCGTGCATCGGCGTTGCTCCTTAAATTTTGTCGTGGCATCGCCGCCGCGCGTACTCGCGCATCTGCCCGTGCGCGCCCTCGTTCGGGACCAAAAAATAGTTCTTTCGTACGGATGTGCCAGCTCCAGCAGTTCGGTTCCGAACATTCCCAACAAATTATTTTCGCTAAGCAAGCAAGCACTTACCAGCTTCATGGCCGTTCACCTTTTGCTAAGCACGTGTTCAAAGAGGAGGGTGACTGCGCCGTTGGAGACAGCAGCTATCCGCACCGACCATGTACTCCTTCTCGAAGCAGAGGAGTATTTCCGTTACTCCCTCACTCCCACTTTCTGTACCGTCACAGGTTCAGGCTTCGCGATAAATCCGCAGCTTTTTGCGAGCATGGCCGCGTCAAAGAACCTCCTTATGACACCACTTTTGCCGCAGCTGTTGTTTTTCAACAACACTTGCATGAGGCGTACAGACGCCTGAAGGCTCCGAGGCTTTGAGTTTGAGGTGTGCCTCTTCAGCTCTGCTCCTGTCGAAGCCGCAACTCATTACAATGGCGGACATTTTTTCGCACTTGCGACTCGGTCGTGTTGCGTTAGTCCTGACTGTATTCTTTGTGCTCGCCGCAGGTAAGCTGTTTGCGCTTTGAGTTGCGCATGATGCCGTACAGTTCTTTCATCAGCGCAAATCAGGTCTTCATTGGCATCGTACAGTGCAGTGTCTTTAATGCCAATGAAGACCTGATTTCTCTTCCGAGATTACTTTTGAGTCGACTCAAAAGTTCTTTGTGCTCGCCTCAAGTAAGCTGTTTGCGCTTTGACTCGCGCATGATGCCGTACAGTTCTTCATCAACGCAAATCAGGTCTTCATTCAATGGCGCCGTACACTTCAGTGTCTTTCATGCCAATGAAGACATGAGATTCTTTATGGGTTTCTATTTCATACTAGTTTCTTTCGTTTCTCCCACCTCCTCGTCCACTCTATACGTCTTCTTTTCCTCGTTCTCATGCCCTACCGTGCTTCACTACCCTGCCTCGCTCCCCTGCTCGCCGTGGCTCCCGTGGCTGCACGTGGTTGCCATATCGCCCGCAGTGCCACGAACGACAAAGGTATGAACGCGGGGATGGGGTGCTGTGAACTGACTAGAGTACCGCCTGACTCTCATGGCATGCTGTTGAGCTTTTGGAACAAACATTTCACATAGGAAAGATAGGACACTCATTATCCGTTGGTTGTGATGCCTGCTCTTCATCCACCTCCCTCCCTTCCGCTTCCTTTTTTTCCCTTCACCCCTCTTCGTTCCTTCTCTCCCTGAAATATGTTAATCGTGCTCTCTTTCATTGATCCTCTCTTTTCAAACTTATAAGACAGCGGTGATGGGTTTGAGCGCCATTCTTTCCCTGTCTCACTCATCTCTCATCTCATTCATCTCTTATCTCATTCATCTCTTCTCTCACTCGTTCTCTCACTCGTCTCGTCCCTCATTCATCTCTTTCTTTCTTCTTTCTCACTCGCACACAATCTCCCTCGAGCAAGCCAAGACGGTGGTGGTGGGTGAGGGGGGCATGAACCCATGGAGCGAGTGGTGCATGCGGGTCTGGAAAAAGCCAGTGTTGCGAGTGGGGGACTCTCTTGGTGAGACCTGCACTCTGCGTGTAGGGTGTTTATATATATATGTTCAAAAGGGACTCTCTTGGTGAGATTTGCAATGTGGATGTACAGTGTACTCTGGTGCCCATCGTATGCTGCCAACCAGCCTGAGTGATGAAGTAGTTACACGATTTTGCGGCCAAGAGGTCTTACTTAAAGTGGGAGATCCTTTTTTAGAGGCTGTTGAGCATTTCTGTGCATACCAGCCAGCAGAGTAATAAACATGTGTTAGAATTCCGGAGCTATGAGGACTTACAAGGTTGTGAGGATCCTTTTTTGGAGGTTTTATTCGCTTTCTTTCTTTGTGCCTGTGCTCTGTGCCTGCCGCGTGCCTATTCTGCCACATCCTGCCTTCCTGCCTTTCCCCCTCGCCCGCGGTGGCACGCCGGTCAGTCTTCGAGTGGCAGGGCTTCCTCAACGACGTCGTTGTGATTGTTTGTTAGCCGTGCCTGAGCTGTGTGCCTGCCTTTGTGCCTGTCTTTATGTGCCTGTGGCCTGTGCCTCCCGTGTACCCATTCTGGTTCATTGCGCATGGCAGTCTTCAAGTGGCAGGGCTTCCTCAACGACGTCGTGATTGCATTTGAGCCGCCTCAACAGTGTGCCTGTGCTCTGTGCCTTTCTTTCTGCCTGTGCTGTGTGCCTGCCATGTACCCATTGTGAGGCAGTCTTCAAGTAGCGCGGCTTCCTCAATGACGTCGTGATTACGATTGATAAGAAGCAAATCGAAACGTGCAACATCACTGTGTCGTTCATGCTGCACCAGACCACTTGGTCGGGCCGTTACAAGCTTCTGATTCCAAAAGACACCAAGCGAGCCTATTTCGCCAGCAGCATTCGTGGACGGTGCAAGAGGGGCCTCAAGTAGGACACTGGTCCCATTCTAGCGTGATTCTTAAGTCGACTCCAACATCAACTACCATAACCATTCGTGGATGGTGCAAGAGGGGCCTCAAGTAGGACACTGGTCCCATTCTAGCGTGATTCTTAAGTCGACTCCAACATCAACTACCATAAGCATTCGTGGACGGTGCAAGAGGGGCCTCAAGTAGGACACTGGTCCCATTCTAGCGTGATTCTTAAGTCGACTCCAACATCAACTACAATAAGCATTCGTGGACGGTGCAAGAGGGGCCTCAAGTAGGACACTGGTCCCATTCTAGCGTGATTCTTAAGTCGACTCCAACATCAACTACCATAACCATTCGTGGACGGTGCAAGAGGGGCCTCAAGTAGGACACTGGTCCCATTCTAGCGTGATTCTTAAGTCGACTCCAACATCAACTACCATAAGCATTCGTGGACGGTGCAAGAGGGGCCTCAAGTAGGACACTGGTCCCATTCTAGCGTGATTCTTAAGTCGACTCCATCATCAACTACCATAAGCATTCGTGGACGGTGCAAGAGGGGCCTCAAGTAGGACACTGGTCCCATTCTAGCGTGATTCTTAAGTCGACTCCAACATCAACTACCATAAGCATTCGTGGACGGTGCAAGAGGGGCCTCAAGTAGGACACTGGTCCCATTCTAGCGTGATTCTTAAGTCGACTCCAACATCAACTACCATAAGCATTCGTGGACGGTGCAAGAGGGGCCTCAAGTAGGACACTGGTCCCATTCTAGCGTGATTCTTAAGTCGACTCCATCATCAACTACCATAAGCATTCGTGGACGGTGCAAGAGGGGCCTCAAGTACGACACTGGTACCCTTCTAACGTGATTTTGGAGTCGAATCCGGAGTCAACTAAGCATCCGTGGAAGGTGCAGGAGGGGAGGGGACTCAAGTACCGTAACCTAAAACACTGTTGCCTTTCTGAAGTGATTTCCAGCGTGTGCGCACCTACTCGTCCAATAGGTAATGTACCTACGTGGCCATGTTTAATAATGCGCATTCGTAGGCCTCAAGCAAGTTACCGGTAGTGGTTGGATGGACAGAAACAGGTAATGCTTTATATTTTTTGGTTAACAGTTTGACCGCGAAGAGGAAGGAGCCTGTGTTGCAATTGCGGCGGAACTAGCGGCTTGACAGCTGTATGATAGACGATGGTTTTTACATATATGCAAGTGTAGAACAGATGATTCTCCCACTACTGTTCTTTTGCGTCGACCAAAAAGAGGTCCCGCGAAGTGCTGTTACTTTTAAGTACTTGGCCAAAGGTCATTCCATCCATGCAGCTCGAATGTCCGCCATTGTGCTGGAGAGTGTAAAGGTGACCTTGGCCGTGCATCACATGTGCTTGTTAGCTACCATGCCATGCCTCCCGGCTGGCAAACAGGGCCAGCTTTTAATTATTGCGTTCTGTGGCCGCACGAACCAGGAGGAAGTCAACCATCTCTTCGGTTCCCCACTCTGCAAGCACAAACACAAGACCAACAGAGCAAATTCGAAAGCTCCATGACAATCAGTCCACAGTCATGCCGGTTCCTACGTCGTTTTCAACAACCAAAGCAGGTCTAATATCAGAGGTGACTTTTGAGTCAGCGCCAACAATGAAAGCTCCATCACAATCAGTCCATTCCATACATGCCGCTTCCTACATGCCGCTTCCTACATGCCGCTTCCTACATGCCGCTTCCTACATGCCGCTTCCTACATGCCGCCTCCTACATGCTGCTTCCTACATGCTGCTTCCTACATGCCGCTTCCTACATGCTGCTTCCTACATGCCGCTTCCTACATGCTGCTTCCAACCAACAAGCAAAGTAGGCCTTATATCCGAACACGCAGTTTCTATCCAATCAAATCGACAGTCTGCAACTTACATTGGCCACCGACGCTTTGCCACCATGACAACCATTGGCACACACACGCACACGCGCACGCGCACGCGCACGCGCACGCGCACGCGCACGCGCACGCGCACGCGCACGCGCACGCGCACACGCACACACACACACACACACACACACACACACACACACACACACACACACACACACACACACACACACACGTCGTTGTAGGCATACATCACGAGATCATGCATGTAAGAAATCTTACATACGCATACCGCACTACCATCACCACCTTACAACCACAAGCCACCTCAATGCCAACACACTACACTGCCAGCCACCTCACTAACACCCTAATGCCACCCCAATGCCACCCCAATGCCACCTCGAGTGCGCACCTTGAGCATACTCAAGTGCATTCCCCTTGTCATCACTGGTGGCGTACAGTACAGATGGTTTTTGGAATTCTCAACAACACCCTCCATCTCAGTGCCACCACACTCAAGTGGGTTTCCCTTGTCAGGTTTTGAGACGCCTCAAAACCAGTGCCACCTCGAGTGCGCACCTTGAGCATACTCGAGGGCACTCCCCTTGTCACCACTGGTGCCGTACAGGTTACCTCGAACACTGGCATCAGCGTCAAGGCCACCCCAAACGCAACCCCAGAGCCACCTCGTGTGCGCACCTTGAGCATACTCGAGGGCACTCCCCTTGTCACCACTGGTGCCGTACAGGTTACCTCGAACACTGGCATCAGCGTCAAGGCCACCCCAAATGCAACCCCAGAGCCACCTCGTGTGCGCACCTTGAGAATACTCGAGGGCACTCCCCTTGTCACCACTGGTGCCGTACAGGTTACCTCGAACACTGGCATCAGCGTCAAGGCCACCCCAAATGCAACCCTAGAGCCACCTCGTGTGCGCACCTTGAGCATACTCGAGGGCACTCCCCTTGTCACCACTGGTGCCGTACAGGTTACCTCGAACACTGGCATCAGCGTCAAGGCCACCCCAAATGCAACCCTAGAGCCACCTCGTGTGCGCACCTTGAGCATACTCGAGGGCACTCCCCTTGTCACCACTGGTGCCGTACAGGTTACCTCGAACACTGGCATCAGCGTCAAGGCCACCCCAAACGCAACCCCAGAGCCACCTCGTGTGCGCACCTTGAGCATACTCGAGGGCACTCCCCTTGTCACCACTGGTGCCGTACAGGTTACCTCGAACACTGGCATCAGCGTCAAGGCCACCCCAAATGCAACCCCAGAGCCACCTCGTGTGCGCACCTTGAGCATACTCGAGGGCACTCCCCTTGTCACCACTGGTGCCGTACAGGTTACCTCGAACACTGGCATGAGCGTCAAGGCCACCCCAAATGCATCCCCAGAGCCACCTCGTGTGCGCACCTTGAGCATACTCGAGGGCACTCCCCTTGTCACCACTGGTGCCGTACAGGTTACCTCGAACACTGGCATCAGCGTCAGTGCAAACCAATAGCCACCTCAATGCAACCCCAACTTGTGTGCGCACCTTGAGCATACTCGAGTGCGTTCCCCTTGTCATCGCGGGTGGCATACAGGTGGCTATTGGTTTGCACCTCGAACACTGGCATCGGCCTCAGTGCAAACCAAACGCCATCCCAACTTGCATGCGCACCTTGAGCATACTCGAGGGCATTCCCCTTGTCATCGCTGGTGGCGTACAGGTCAGCACCGGCGTCCAATAGAATGCGAGCAACGTCCAAGTTGCCCTTTATGCACGCGAACTGGGAGAGGGAAGGGGAGAAATGACATTCCAATCGTCGTTGGTGGTAAAAATATTATCTCTAGGCATGAAACTATTGGACGAGGCTCAGTCAAGAGGGGTTTTCATGACGGCAGGAAAAGGAAAGCGGTTGGATGGTGCAACCAAACCACAGGTAGGGAATCCCAGTGAAAGGAATTCAGGGATGCAATAATGATAATTCAAACTAGAGTGCGAATTATCTTATGCGGGGTTCTCAATCTGTAGGTCTCCCAAACCTGCAGCGGAGTATTCCCGGTGCTGTTCCGAGCGTCAGTGTCAGCTCCGGCAGCGAGAAGCACCTGGACCACCTCTGGATGCTCGTAGAACGCTGCCAGGTGCAACGCTGCAGGGGAGGGGGAGAGAGGGGGGAGGGGGGGGGGGGGGGGGGGGGGGGGGTGGGGGGAGAGGGAGGAGAGGTTTGAGTCGACTCAAAAGTAACCAGAAGCACCTGGCGACCTCTGGATACCGCCAGATGCAACGCTCCAGGCGGGCAGGTAAATTGCGATGGAGGTAAATTGCCAAGGAAGCTCGTATGATCAATACAGCATGATTCGCCATGAAAGAGCGGTATAGAATGACGTTTTTGTGTAATTTATGGTGAAATGCGTCCAAAAGTTAAATGATCAAGTGGTAGGCGGCTTGTCCATTCAATGCACTCACATCATTGTTCAACCTCAAGCCCGTAACGATCTTCCAAAGACCAAGCCTTGCATTGGTTACCAGCCTCTATTATCACCTTACCAATTTGGAACCTCATGCTACCAGCTTCTACCCTCATGTTACCAGCCTGTAGTCTCGTGTTACCAGCCTGTAGTCTCGTCTTACCAGCCTGTAGTCTCGTCTTACCAGCCTGTAGTCTCGTCTTACCAGCCTGTAGTCTCGTCTTACCAGCCTGTAGTCTCGTCTTACCAGCCTGTAGTCTCGTCTTACCAGCCTGTACTCGAACGCAACTGTCACTATCCTGTACGAAATATATAACATTATATTCGTTTCTAGGGTTACCTGTCCAGCCAGATCGTTCAGGGCTAGGTAAATTAATGTCGACACCTCCGCCTGCCAATAGTTGCTTCACCGCAGCCACGTCGCCCTCCTTAGCCGCGTCTTTAATCGACTCGTTCACGTCCCCGACAGAAGCAGAAGCGACAATAGTCGTGTCTGCATTCGCCGCTGCTACTCGGCGTCCGTACGGCGAGCCTGTAATTCGTCGCGATCGCAGAGAGCGAGAGACACACGGAATGTCGCGATGGGTAGGAGATGGAAACGTCGTCGCACGTGTGAACGAAGAAGCGGCGACGCGAGTTACGTGGGGAGGAGAAGGGAATTGCTGATGGCTGCTTGTGGCTCTCGATTGGCACGCGACGACGCGGGTTACGAAAGCCGCTTGCGTGGACGAGTGGGCGACCAGAGAAACAGCAGGAGCCGCCATTGTGCTAGAGGTTCTAGGGGAAAGGAAAGGTGAAATTGGAATTGCATAAAACTGATCAAGCTGTTATGAATTTGTTTCGAGTACTCCGCGTTATGAACAGACCATTTTCCTGAACAAGCCTTTATTGCAATGTAAGCTCTATGTGAACGAGGATACATTCTATAGGAGAACAAAATTTCCCTGCTGTTCACCCACACCCTGCTTGCTGCACGGATCACATCACACGTGCGGAACTGTTCTCTCAAAACGGCCGAGACTGGATTGGATGCATACAAAAACTGTCCACAGAGAATTCCAGTCTGATGATTATTATTCTGTACTCAGTTTACGTGCGATTTTGATGGCGTTGGACGTTGAAAAATATGAATCAATAGAAACTTTGCGGGGCAGATTCCTGCCCGTCCCCAGTCACATTCTTCGTGGAAGCCGACTTTCTGGTAACGGACCTGTACGGTTTCATGACGCCCCTCGAGGTCGACTCGACACCTCTGTCCTTGGGTTTGCCTGATGCATTGATGATGATGTGCAATGTTGATGAACTGAAACATTTCGTTCTGTACCGTTCAAGATGCCTTTGAAGTGACACTAGACCGACTAGAATTGAACAGGTTATGTATGTCGGGCGCGTTTCTTTAGAAATTTATTGCAAAGTTCATGTTTTTAAGTCGGTTTTTTAAGTTTGAGCCTAGGTCGACCTGTACTCGAGTTTCTCAACTTTTGGGTCCCAAAACCACATGGCACAACAAAGCTTGACTTTAGAAGCTGGACATTATACAGTAGAACCCGAGTCGCGCCCCAATTTATTAGGTTACTCGATTTGACGACGTAGCTCTTGAACGAATCCGGAATCAGTAACGAGGTACGGCGTCGTTCGTTACTATCGCAAACGTCGCAAATTCACTGTGCATGAGAAGAAGAACACACGTTTGGCTAAATGGGCCCGTGAAAAATCGACCCCAGTTCAGTGTCCTTCAGTTTCATCAATCTTTGAACTTGGACACACAATTGTCGCAAACAGCTGTAAACGAAATTGACGAAGCGTGTTACCATCAAAAGGTGACCTCTGATTTGAACCTCTACACCAAAAGACATGCGCCCTAAGCTATGACCGCATTCCAACCTTGAGCCCTGATTCGTCCCTCACGGCCTTGGAAACTCCGCAGTGGCTGTTGCTTGGTTCTGGGGAGAGGGAAGTGGTGATTCTTTGGTTGGTCCTCGTCATCTTGGGAGCACCAGCAGGACATCGGGACTCACCATTGTCCACCCCTCCACTCATGAGAAAGCTTGAATAGCTCGGAAATGTTCTAGTCCATGTTTTGAGTTTGTGGTGCTATGCGTAAGTGATTGGCTGAAGGGTGATGATAATAATGGACTGATGTAAATGCTATCCAAAGCCGTTCGCCATTCACGAACGATGCGATCCAAGGCATAGACGATGATACTGGAGCGGAATTGGTTACCACTCGTGTGATTCTAGAAGCTATGGACGAGTTATGGGTGGAGTCGCCACGCGCGGATAACGACAACCCTAACAACCCCGATTTCCATTCCGCTCCACTATACCTACAAAACAATGACCAATCCTACCAGCAGCACCAACAAAACCATGGCGAGGCATTTACTAACGGGGACGACGGGTACGATGACTCGCTTCAGTCTCCGACAATGCCCGCCGGATGCGCCGTCAATTTCCTCAAGTCGTCCAATCCAAGTCGCCAGCGCTCCGGCAGTGTGCGGCAGCGCGTGTGGAACAAGGTCCAACGCGCCACGTCGCTTTCCGCCATGGATTTCCAGACCTTCGTGCGCTCGCTCGCGCAGGACCCGAAACCCGTGCATCCATTCAAGCCGTCCGGCGCCGGGGAAGGCGGAGAGGCGCGTGGAGGCGCGCAGCAGATGCGTGGCGGAGAGGCTGCCGGCGCAGCAGCGCAGACGGCGCAAGATACGTTCTTTACCAGGCTAGAAGCCCCCGCGGATAGAGATTTCTCCGCGGCGGCCAGCCCCGCAGCTCCCGCCGATGCTTCCCACGCGGGGCTCTCGCGCGGGAGCGCCGGTAGCCGTTCCGCTGGCGTCGGATCGCACTGGGGCCTGGCGCGTTCCGCTTCCGACGCGCTGCATCAGATGTTCGGGGGCTCCGGGGGTGGCGGGGGGGGAAGCGGTGCGGGTGGCGCGGGGGGAAACACTGCGGACGATGGGAGGGAACCGGGGGAAGCCAGTGGCGGAAGCCAGCGGGGAGCAGCGGGGAGGAACCACGGGGCTGGCGGAAGGGGGAGCGGCGGTTCCGCTGGGAGAAGCGCAAGTTCTGGGGGGAGTGTTTTTCTACCGTTGAACCAGACTCCAAACCAAACTCCGAACAACCAAACTCCACAGGGACCTTATTATTCGCGCCAGCGGAGCTTCTCCGCCAGTGGCGCAAGCTTTTCCGCCATCCCTTCCGCCAGCCCTTCCGCCAGCCCGTACGCTAGCCCTTACGCTGGTCCTGCTGCTGGCGCGGCCGTTACTACCTCCTCCCCCTCCCCCTACGGCGGAGGGCTGGGGTGCACAGGCGGAGGACTGGGGGCCTCAGGCGGAAAGGGCGCAAGTTCCGGGGGACCGAAGGCAGGGCCTCCGTTGCCTTTATCGAAGTCCGCTATAGCGAGGTTTAGGCTTCCGCGGATGGCGTCAGAGAGCGGGCGAAGGCACAGGGCGTGGCAGGCTGACCTGGAGGAGGACGATGGGGAGCCGCTTGAGGGGGAGGTGGTACCTGATCCGGTGGGATCTGGGGCAGGTGTATCCGGGACTGACGGAGTGAATTACGGTGGGGGGAATATTGGTGGGGGGAGTTTCGATGGGGGAATTTATGGTGCTGAGCAGAGGGGCGGGGGAGGGAGGTCGGGTTCGGAAGGAGGAGCGGATGGTTTCAAGAGCCAGTCAACGCGGTCAATGCAGTCAATACGGTTTGGGTCCGGTACTGAGAGACCAAGGGCGTATTCACTGAGCCAGACCAGCATGGATGGATACCTAAGGGTAACTGGCACCAATAGCCCTGCTCTTTCCACTGCTACTGCTGCTGCTGGTGCTGAGACTGCTGGCACGTCTTTAGGGGGTGGTGCTGCTGCTTCTGCTGCTGCTGGCGGCTTTCTGGAGTTCCCCAATGGAACCTTTCACGCGTCCGGGGTTGAGCAGACGGGCGCAGGAGACAGTGAGGGCGCAGCGGGTTTTCAGCAGCAGCAGCAGCTACAGCAGCAGTCGATGCAGCAATATGCACAGGCACAGGCCCTCGGCAATGAAACAAGCCCAGACGCTCAGATTCTTGTAGTCGACCCGGGGAAGGAGTGGCAGCAGCAGCAGCAGCAGCACGGTACGGCACAGCAAAGCACGAGCGCACAGCAAAGCACAGGCGCTCAGCAGCAGGCGGGGGCAGGCGGATCTCAGCCGTCCATGCAGCAGGCAGCCGGCGGATCTCGGCCGTCCACGGGCACAGGCTCGCGGGCGTCTGCCGTGGCGTATGTGAGCAAGTTTGAGGAGTACAGGCGGCGACTGACGGAGCAGCAGCAGCAGCTACAGCAGCAGCATGGGGTAGGAGGGGTGGGGCCAGGGCAGGTGGGAAGGAACCGAGGAGGTGGTGGTGGCGGTAGGGGTGTTCCCAGAAGTGCGTCTCATGAGCCTTTCAGTGATAGGTCGTGGCAAGGGCGAGACGAGGAGAGCTCGGCCGCTGGTGCTAGTGCGGGTCTTACTGGTGCTGGCACCGGCTTTACAGGTGATGGCTTTGACGATGCTAGTCTTGGTGTGTCCAGTGCGGCTGGCGGGGTAGGTGGGGGTGGTGGGCCTGGTGGGGGTGGCGAAGGGTATAGAGGGGAGAGGCAGGGGTACGGCACTTACAGGGGCTCGCCAGCCGCAGCAAGGGGAGGGGGACGAGCAGGCGGCAGGGCGGGGGGCAGGGCGGACGGCAGAGCGGGCGGCAGGGCGGGCGGCAGGGCCGGTGGAGCATTTATGATGCGGTCGACATCGCTTGGCAACGCTAGGGATTTCATGGGGCAGCTGGAGGGGGATGACGTGGACGCTGACGTGGATGGAGATGTAGATGACTCAGGTGGGGGCTTAGCTGGGGGCGTGGAGGCTGGGCTAGGTGAGTGGAGTACGGGCGGCACAGGGAGTGATACCACAGGTGCTGCAGGGCCCAGTGCTGCTAATTCTTCTGCGTCAGCAGCCGGGGTAAGTAGTGACCGGCTGGGCGGAGGTCGCAGTAGGGGTCGGGGTGGTGGTAGGGGTAGTGATGGTGGTGGTAAGGGTAGCGGTGGTAGGGGTAGGGGTAGCAGTGGTGGTGGTGGTCGCACCTCAGGCTCGCCATCTGCCACTCTCTCTCTTCGGAACTATGAGAAGTTCCGACCCTCAACAGCAGCAGCAGGAGGAGGAGCAGCAGCTGAACCATCCTCCTCTTCAGTGCAATTCCTCTCAGGATCAGGAGAAGGCGGAGATGAGGAGGATGAGGGGCTGGCGCCTGTAGCTGCAACTTCCCACGCCCCTGGTGCCTCTAGAAGAGCTGGGTATGGGAGTAGCGACGGTCGTGGTGGTGGTGGCTCTGGGCGTAGTCGGGGTAACCCTAACTCTACCCTGGGTAACCGCCAACTGCTGCGGCGGCACACCGACGACCCGACGCAGCTGAACCGCGTCCAAACGCCCGATGCACTCTCGTCCTTTCCTGCCGTGCCCTCCCGCCTTGGCCCGGGGAACCTCCAGCGTACCTCGTCGTCTGCCGCCCACCGGCCTTCCTCTGCTGCCCAGCGACCTTCAGCTGCCGCCCAGCGGTCTTCCGCTGCCGCCCAGCGGCCTTCTTCTGCCGCCCAGCGACCCTCCTCTGCCGCCCAGCGGCCCTCTTTGTCCTCTTCTGGGCGGCAGCAGGAATTCAGAGACCAAGGGCCGATGCAGCAGCAGGGGCAGATGCAGGAGCAGATTCAGTATCAAGGGCAGATGCAGCTACAAAGGCAGGGGCAGGGGCAGGGGCAGGCACAGGAGCAGATGCAACAGCAGGGGCAGATGCAGGGGCAGATGCAGGGGCAGGGGCAGATGCAGGGGCAGATGCAGCAGCAGGGGCAGATGCAGCTGCAAGGGCAGGGGCAGGGGCAGGCACAGGGACAGATGCAAAGGCAGGGGCAGGGGCAGATGCAGCAGCAACAGGGTCAGATGCAGCAGCAGCAGCAGGGGCAGATGCAGCAGCAGCAGCAGGGGCGGATGCAGCAGCAGCAGGGGCAGACGCAGCAGCAGCAGGGGCAGTTGCAGCAGCAGATGCAGCAGCAGCAGCAGGGGCGGATGCAGCAGCAGGGGCAGATGCAGCAGCAGGGGCAGGCAAGAGGTCAAGTGCCGTCAGTGTCCTCCTCGCCCCTGCGACAGCGCCCGAGCCCCTCTCCTTCAATCAACGGTTCTGATTCCTCTAAAGAGTACCAGGTACGTCAACAGCCTGCCACATCCCCCTCCTCCCCGCTCCGGGCCAGGCCTGGCCCTTCCTCCCCGTCCGAAAGCCCTTATCCGAGGCAAGAAGAGAAGATTTCCCGTCCCTCCACCTCCCCTCTCCGGACCAGGCCAAGCCCTTCCGCCTCATCCGAAAGTCTTGATCCGAGGCAAGAAGAGCAGATTCTCCTCCCCTCCACCTCGTCCTCCTCTTCCTCCCCGGTTCGGCCGGGGCTGGATGCGCCTCCCAAGCGGCGGGCCTTGTCAGGCCCCCTGCATGCCCGTGCTGGCCGCCGCTCTGCTTCTACCCTCCCTGCTGCCAATGCTCTCGCTGGCAACGCTGGCAGCAGCAGCAGCAGCAGCAGCACTACCAGCAGCAGCAGCAGCAGCAGCGGCAGCAGCAGTAGCAGCAGCAGTAGCAGCAGCACTGGCAGCATCATTAACAGCAGCAGTGGCAGCACCAGCAGCAGTGGCAGCACCAGCAGCAGTGGCAGCACCAGCAGCAGCAGCAGCAGCAGCAGCAGCAACACTAACAGTAGCAGCAGCAGCTACAGGGCCCAGAGGCCGGGCCCAGTGGCATGCCCCCCTCGTGCATCTCCCAATCAGCTCTTCAACCAGCAGAGCCCCAAAAGCGGGGCTTTAAGCCCTCACAGCCAGGCTGCAATCCGCTCTCCCTCTGCCAGAAGCCCTCGTGGCGGCCTCCCCCCTCCTCCTACCCCTCCCTTGCGCTCTCCGTCCACTCGTTCTCCGCTTTCTCCTCTTTCCTCTCCCCTTTCTCGGGATAAGTTGGCTTCTCAGTGGCTAGAGCAGAGGGCCCCCCTGTCGCCACTCTCACCACAGCAGGGGCAGCAGCAACAGCAGCTGACGCAGCAGCAGCAGTCGCAGCAGCAGCAGTCGCAGCAGCCTTGGCAGCAGCAGGGACAGCAGCAGCAGCGGCAGCAGGGGCAGCAGCAGCAGGGGCAGCAGCAGCAGGGGCAGCAGCAGCAGTGGCAGCAGCAGGGGCAGCAGCAGGGGCAGCAGCAGCAGCAGTGGCAGCAGCAGGGGCAGCAGCAGGGGCAGCAGCAGGGGCAGGGGCAGCAGTGGCATCAGGCTACCTCCCCTCACAGCATGGCCATACAGCATGCTACCCCATCCAGCCCTATTCATGCGCTCATGCATGTCCCCACCAGCCCTGTCCCAGCATTGGTGCAGCATGCACCTGCTAGCCCCTCCCAGGGCGTGTATGGGCCGTTTGAAATGCCTTCTCAAGCTCCCATTCACCCTCCTCACTCTCAGCACACGCTCACTCACTCCCCCCATTCGCCCCTTCATTCTCCTCGTGCTCCTATGCACCCCCCCCATGCGCCCATGCACTCCCCCCGTTCTCCAATGCACTCCCCACGTGTTGCCCCACACTCCCCCCATGCGCCCATGCACTCCGCCCATGCGCCACTCTCCCCCCATGCGCCCATGCACTCCCCCCATGCGCTCATGCACTCCCCCCACGCGCCCATGCAGTCCCCCCATTCGCCCATGCACTCCCCACGTTCTGCCCCACTCTCCCCCCATGCGCCCATGCACCCCACCCATGCGCCCATGCACCCCCCCCATGCGCCCGTGCAATCCCCCCATGCTGCCCCACACTCCCCCCATGCGCCCATGCACTCCCCCCATGCGCCCATGCACTCTCCCCATGCTGCCCCACTCTCCCCCCACCCTCCTATGCACTCCCCCCATGGTCTCACACATGCTCCCCATTCCCCTCTACAGTCCCCCACACATGTACTGCACTCCCCCCATTCCCCCTTTCACTCCCCCCATGCGCACTCCCCATCCCATCCCACAGCCCCCCCCCACTCCCCATTGCACTCTCCCCACACAGCCCCTCCATATAGCCAGCAACAGCCTCTCTCCCCCACATTCTTTTCCCCCAATTCCTTTCCCCCCAACTCCTTCAATCCGGAGGCTCGGAAACCTCCCGAGGCTGGCCAACCGGTTTGGCAGCTTGGTGCGGCAGAGGAAAGCACACCCACCCCTGCATTGGGCAGTGGAAGTGAGAGTATTGTGACTGTATTAGACTGTGACAGTGGCGACATGTTTTCATTTGAACAGGAGAGGCAGGAGGTGCCTGGTGGGGGGGTGAGTGTGCGTTCACGGGAGGTGATGCGTGCGCATGCTGAGCCGGAGGAGGGTGATGGGAATCAGCAGTGGCAGCAGCAGCAACTGCAACTGCAAGTGCAACAGCAACAACAGCAACAGAAACAGCAACTGCAGTGGAACCAGCAACTGCAACAGCAACAGCTGGAGCAGCAGCAGCAGCAACAGCAGAAACATCAAGAGCAGCTGCAGCAGTTTTCCCTCTTAACTTCCTCCACAGAGCCATTCCTTCCCACCCCAAACGCATTGTTCTATCCACCTTCTAACCAAACCCCCCAAGCCCTCCAAACCTCCCAACGCCACACGCAGCAGCAGCACCCAGGAAGCACCACCCACCTCTCCCCTCCTCCCTCCAACACACCCTCAGCTCTCGCCGACTCTCCTTCCTTCTCTCACGTCTCCCCTCCTCCCTCCTACTACGACCCTGCAAACCCCTCCCTTCCCTCCCATACCGCGCACAACCGCTTTGCAAACCCACACAGTAGCGCTTACGCCTCTGACCCTACCGCCTCCCCGCAGGATTCTTTGCCGCGCATGCACACCAACCCTCTCCACTACAGACGGCCTTACAACACCCACCTGCCCCGCCGCCCCCCTCGCCCCGTTCCACCTCAGTCTAGGAATGCGCTGGCTGCATCAGCTGCTGGGGCTGGGGGAGGGGGGTTTGCCTCAGCCAGACTCGGGAATGCTAGTGGCCAGGCTGGTGCTTTGACCAGTCGTAGCACCTTCACTGTTGACTTTTAATTACTTGAGCCAACACACACAGCTGGTATTTATGCCACAGATCGCAGCGCCGTCCCTCAGGACTGCTTGCCTTGCATGCACAGCACACCAACCCTCCGCTGAATTATAGACGGCCTTACAGGCTTACAACATCCACCTGCCTTGCCGCCCCCAGCTCCGGGGCCCGCATCCCCCTCAGTCAATGAATGTGCTGGTTGCAGCAGGTGCTGCATGTGGCGTGGTGGAGGCAGGCTTGCTGCAGCCAGACTTGGGAGTATGGATGCCCAGGTTTGTCCTTTGGCTGCTCGTAACAGCTTGGTTGTTGACTTTTGACTTAGGCTTGGAAAAGGTTCCTTGTTGAACTCCATGCTACAGTGCTGCCAAGCAAGTGGCTGAAGAAGAACTGCTGCTGTGGCTATTTCTGGCAGTTTCTAGCCTCAAGGTTGACCAAGGTGTTGACTTAATTTATACAGCTGTTCCTTTCTTATATTGCAGTGTAAATCATGTTGCACTAGCCAAATCTGGGCTGTAAGGTTTCTGCATCCTAGTGATATAAAAGCTAGTTCTTTGGCTCAAAAAGAGCTTTTAGATTTACTGTAGAGCGACGCTTGACTGTATCATGAACGAGTCGGCTTGTTTCGGCAATCCCGAGGCAAGCGAGAATCTAGGAAGGGAGAATCTAGGGACAAGTTAGCAATCGGGCGAGAAACAATAGCTGCGTATGTCATCATATGCAGCCAAGGTTTTTTTCGTGAGATTACGACGGCCCGCCATGTTCGCGGCTCCATGTGGAGCATGGGGGGCCAGTCGCGGTTCCTCGGATAGCTCGAGACGACGTTCGTTTCGAGGAGTCTCGTTGTCGCCCGTCCTTTCCGTCCTTACCGTCCAAGTCAAGACTGAGATGGTCTCAATCGGAATTGGACGTTCAGGAACGAATCTGTTCACGATGTCTCGAGCCTTGATCCACTCTGTTGCGACATCTGGGTAGAAGCGTCGTTCTGAGGTCCTGTTTCTCAATAGCACGCAATGGCACTCAATAGCACGCAATGGCACTCAATAGCAGTGTCAAACGCGTGGAAACATGTTCCAAAACTCGATGTTACTACGTTCAGATGACTGGGGAATTGATTGGACAGGGGCGACAGAGATTCTTTCGAGGTGAACGCTTAACGCATCAATGCGTGGTACTACCAGGCAGGTCTCAAATTCCTACGCCTGGAATAAGTGGTTAACGGTCTCTGGGTCGAGTCGCTTTGGCATAAAACATAGTGCTCAGTAACGATCAGTAATTCTTTCTTTCTTTCCAAAATCAGCGATTTCACAGAGAGCAGCTCGATACGCGCATCGGCTATGACTGCAGCAGCCGTTTCTGGCATTTACGGACTAGCAGCAGGCCCCACAAAGGTGTGCTTGCTTGATCGCCAAGCTAGACCGCGTATACCACGTGGACAACCAAGCAACAATCCCCGTCCTCTGACTGTTCGATTCAAGGCACGCGCATCACATGCTGTGCGTCTCGCACCTGGCAGCTCCATAGGCCTCACCACCAGCTTTTGTGAAGGTTGCTTGAACAGCAACGGTAGGAGCGGCTGCATTAGCAGCAGATTCAAGAGAGCGAAGGCGTATGCTGCTCCTGGTGCCAACCACAGCCGCAGGGATGTCGCCGCTTCTGCATCTTCTGCTGCTTCTGCTGCTGCTGCTTCCGCGAGCAGCAAGGGCTCAGGAGGACCAGCAGTGTCGGAGGCAGTCATTGTGGGTGGAGGATTGGCCGGCCTCGCATTGGCTATCGGCCTTCGGAAAATTGGGATTGACGTGCAGGTGAGCGAGCTGGGATTGCAAGCAGCACAGCTTATGTGGTTACTCATGGGCTACTCTATTCTACTGGTGCTACAGCGGCGGTGCTACAGTGCCAGCGCCAGTGCTACTGTGCATTCACCATTGCTACTGTGCATTCACCATTGCTACTCCACAAACGCCATGGCCTCCGTGCCAGTCAGTTTCGCTTTCTGCCATGCTATGGTGCCCATAGTGCATGCCACATCATGCCATGCTATGGTGCCCATATCGCATGCATGTCTCACCATGCCATGCCGCCACTGCTTACCACGCCCTCACCCAATGACATGCCAACCAATGCTTACCACGCCGTTACATACACCATACCATGCCGCCACTGCTTGCCACGCCATGCTGCTTGCAGGTGTACGAGGCGCGCAAGGAGGTGGGAGGGGGGGAGGGCACCATCATCTCTCTCTTCCCCAACGGACTTAGGGCGCTCAACCGAATCGACCCTGCCATCGTGACCCAGGTACGTGACAGCCTGATAGCAATGGCTGCATGTGCGAGCTGGTTGTGCATTTTGGTCGTGTTCCGCACATGGTGCTGCTGATTAGCCTTCATGCATCCCCAACGGGCTCAGGGCGCTTAACCGAATCGACCCTGCCATCGTGCCCCAGGTAAGTCGTTTGTGATAGTAATGGCAAGGCTGTGCGTGTTGGTGATGCTTGCATGTGATAATAAGTAGCAGTTGCATGTATGCCTCCTCGGACTCTTCCCCAACGGGCTCAGGGAGCTCAACCAAATCAACCCTGCGATTGTGCCCCAGGCATATGATGTGAGGTGATGCGCCAGATGCTACTTATTCGGTTGAGCGCCCTGAGCGCAATCACATCAGATGCGGCCGAATCAACCCTGATGTGAGGTGATGCGCCAGATGCATGCCTGCAGGCTGCAGCTCACAATAGTAACATAGGTGGCTTGTGAGCGTTCTCAAGAACCGCTTACAGTGCCACCATGACCGCCCGCTTCCGCTTTCTCATGCTCTCCATCCGCTCCTGCTGTTCCCTCCATTCCCCTTTGGCTCATCATGTTGCCGTCCCCATCCATCCCTCGCCCCATTGTATGTTTTTTGAGAATTCTAAAAAAACATACACTTTGGCTCATGTTGCCGTCCCCATCCATCCCTCGCCCATTCTCCTCCAGCTAATTCCTCTGCGAGTGACAGACCCGGCCAGCTTCCTCCTCTCGCCTTCAGGAGACATGATCGCCCCATGGGGCTACAGTGCCACCATGACTGCCTGCTTCGGCTTGCCCATGCTCTCCATCTGCTGGCGGGACATGCTGCGCAGAATTCAACTCACTCTCCTTTCCTACCTTTCTCCCCTCCCTTTCCTACCTTTCTCCCCTCCAGCAACAGCTTCCTTCTCTTCATCTCCTGCCTTGCCCTCCCATCCCCTCCCTATCCTCTCCTGCTGATTCCCCTGGGTGTGACGGATCCCGCGAGTTTCCTTCTCTCCCCCGCGGGCGAAGTCATCGCTCCATGGGGCTACAGTGCCACCATGACTGCCCGCTTCGGCCTGCCCATGCTCTCCATGCTCTCGTGATGCTTTCCCCACATAACACCATGCCTTCCATCCGTTCGTGCTGCTCTCCTCAACCCCTCCTTGCTCCGCTGCCCCCAGCTGATTCCCCTGGGAGTGACAGACCCTGCCAGTTTCCTGCTGTCCCCTGCGGGTGAGGTCATAGCCCCATGGGGCTACAGTGCCACCATGACTGCCCGCTTCGGCCTTCCCATGCTTTCCATCCGCTGGCGGGACGTGCTCGACGTGCTGCGCGGAATGCTGCCAAACGACGCCGTACACACCGGCCACCGGCTCATGAAGGTCACGCAGATGGAGGAGGCTGGAAGGAATGGGGAGGAGTCCGGTGCGGTGGAGAGGGATGGCGTGGCAGAGGGGGAAGGCATGGTGGAGAGCTTTTTCTCCACCGTTTCGTGTGGCAACGAGCATCTCGTGCGCGTGGAGGTGGGTCCTGAGGGGTGGGGTGAGGTGGAATGCCTTTTCTACACTGTTTCGTGTGGCGACGAGCATCTTGTGCGAAAAAAGGTGGATTGGTGACTAGCTCGGTGTAGGGGGAGGCGCAGTTGATGCCAGGAAGGAACCACTTGGGGATTTTCCTCCCTCTTGCCACTCCAACCCTTTCTAAAGCACTTCCTTCACTCGACACTACCTCTTTCCACCGCGTGTCACCCCTACCTTTCTTTCTCCTCTCACCTGCCTGACGCAACGACAGCGACTCTTTTTATTGGTACCACTGTCCAGCACATTTCACTGCAGAATTCTTGAGGCGCCTCAAAGCACATTTCACTGCAGAATTCTTGAGGCGCCTCAAAACACATTTCACTGCAGAATTCTTGAGGCGCCTCAAAACACATTTCACTGCAGAATTCTTGAGGCGCCTCAAAGCACATTTCACTGCAGAATTCTTGAGGCGCCTCAAAACACATTTCACTGCAGAATTCTTGAGGCGCCTCAAAGCACATTTCACTGCAGAATTCTTTCCCTCAACCCCCCTGTTCGCCAGACCCCTCTGCTGCTGGGAGCAGACGACATACCTCTTTCCACCGCATTTCACCCCTCTCTTTCACCCCCCAACCGCCAGACCCCTGTGCTGCTGGGGCCAGACGGCATTCACTCGGAGGCCGTCTCTTGCCTCCATGCCCTAGCCCCCATCGTGATACCTCTTTCCACCGCATTCACCTCTCTCTTCCACCCCCCTTATCGCCAGACCCCGCTGCTGCTGGGGGCAGACGGCATTCACTCGGAGGCACGGAAGCAGCTGCTGGGGGGGACAGCGGGAGAGGTAGTGAGTCCGCGGGACAACGGCAGAACCATCTGGAGGGCCATCCTCGACAGTTCCCTCTGCCCCCACCCCGTATGTGCCTCCTTGCCCCCACCCTCCGTACGTGCCTGTAGGTGTGTATTCACTTGCCTTCTCGGCTTCTATCCAACATGATCTGTCTTGGTTTCCATGTTGCTGTGTCCTTTCTCCTCCAGCCTCTCTCTTCCTTCACCTCACTCTTCCTTATTCCCCGGCCTTCCTCATCTCCTCAAGCCTCGGCACATCTTGGCATGGTGGGCCCCGGCCGCACCGCAACCATCTCACTCTCTCCTCCTCCTGCCCTCATGCACACCCTACCTTTTCCCTCCTCCATCCTCCCCATCCCACAGCTTCTCAAGCCGCGGCACATCCTAGCCATGGTGGGTCCCGGCCGCACCGCCACCATCTCTGACGCCACAGCAGGCAGGCTGCTTTTTAAACCCTTCAGAAGTAGCCCTGCTAGTTTCTCACCCTCCCTCCTCCCCATCCCACAGCTTCTCAAGCCCCGTCATATCCTAGCCATGGTGGGCCCCGGCCGCACAGCCACCATTTTTTATGCCGCAGCAGGCAGGCTCTACTGGCCGTCCTTTGATCCTGTTCACAAACTTTGCTCGTTCCTTATCGCCCTCCTTTCCATCCCTCAGCTCCTCAAGCTGCGACACATCTTGGCCATGGTGGGCCCCGGCCGCACAGCAACCATCTCCGATGCCGCAACAGGCAGACAAGCATGCAAACACGCATGCTCCACTGGGCCGTCCTCAATCCTGTTTACAACCCCTCCTCATTCCTTATCACCTGTCTTCGCCCTAATTCTCTCCTCTCAGCTTCTCAAGCCTCGACACATCTTGGCCATGATGGGCCCCCGGCCGCACAGCAACCATCTCCGATGCCACAGCAGGCAGGCTCTACTGGGAATCCCTTCTTACAACCCCTGCTCATTCTTCATTGTTCCTCTTTCCGTCTCTCTCGTCCTCCCTTCTTTTCACACCTCGCAGCTCCTCAAGCTGCGGCACATCCTAGCCATGGTGGGTCCCGGCCGCACGGCCACAATCTCTGACGCTACCACATGCAAGCAGGCTCTCTTTGGACCTTTGTAGAATCCCTGATCACTCCATACCTCCCTCCTCCCCATCCCTCAGCTCCTCAAGCCACGGCACATCCTGACCATGGTGAGACCCGGCCGCACAGCAACCATCTCCAATGCCACCACATGCAAGCAGGCTCTCTTTGGACCTTTGTATAATCCCTGATCACTCCATACCTCCCTCCTCCCCATCTCTCAGCTCCTCAAGCCGCGGCACATCCTGACCATGGTGGGACCCGGCCGCACGGCCACCATTTCCGACGCCGCAGCAGGCAGGCTGTTTTTCAAACCCTTCAGAAATAGCCCTGCTAGTTTCTCACCCTCTCTCCTCCCCATCCCTCAGCTTCTCAAGACCCGTCATATCCTAGCCATGGTGGGCCCCGGCCGCACAGCCACCATTTCTGACGCCGCAGCTGGCAGGCTCTACTGGGCGTTCACGCTCGTCGATTCCGCCGATCCGACGGTCAGCAGCGCGCGGTCCAGCGGGGGGGAGGAGGCACAAGGGAAGATTCTGCAGGCGTTTGAGGGGTGGGATGTGGTGACTCAGCTTGTCAAGGCCACTCCCCCCGACCTCATTCTCGAACGCCGCGTGCTCGACCTCCCGTCCCTGCCCTTCTGGGTCAAAGGGAGGACGGCTCTCCTCGGAGGTACGACATCTCCTAGAGCTGGCAGTTTTTTTCTTTCTTTCTTTTTTTTTTTTTTTTTCTGCTGCCATTAGTGAACTACCCTCTGCATTCTGCCTACATCGTCCTCTGTCTGTCCAGATGAGGCACGTGCCGTGCAGTGAGGCATCGCTGGGGCAGGAGAGCAATCTTTGTGTGTCATCTGTTTCCACCAACATCTCCTCTGCCTTCCTGTCTCTTTCTTTTCGATGGCATGTGTTCCCTTTCGAAGTCTCCTCTGCCTTCCTGTTTTTTCACCCGCCTGCCTGTCCAGATGCGGCGCATGCAGTGACGCCAGCGTTGGGGCAGGGTGCCAATCTGGCGTTTGAGGATGCGGCCCAGCTGGTGGAGTGCCTCCGGGCAAACTCGCTTGTCAGGTGGGTTGCCAGGTTTGCGGTCAGGTGGGTTGCCAGGTTTGCTATCAGGTGGGTTGCCAGATTTGCTGTCAGGTGGGTTGCCAGGTTTGCTGTCAGGTGGGTTGCCAGGTTTGCTATCAGGTGGGTTGCCAGGTTTTCGGTCAGGTGGGTTGCCAGGTTTTCTGTCAGGTGGGTTGCCATGTTTGCTATCAGGTGGGTTGCCAGGTTTGCTGTCAGGTGGGTTGCCAGGTTTGCTGTCAGGTGGGTTGCCAGGTGAGTTGTTGGGTGGGGGGGCACACATGCCACTGGATTGTCGGTGCATTAGGCACTAGTTGGCAGGTGACCCTACGCTTGTCAAACTGTCTTTTGTCAACCCCTACACTTCCGCCTCCCCTCCTAACCCCCTCTCGCCCTCCGTTGCACCTGTTCCTTCCCCTTCCCTCCTCCCATTCCTCCGCACCCTCTCTGCATTGACCCCTTCCACTCCCACCAGTCCCTTTTGTGTTTTGAGTTGAATGAAAATACACCACCCTTCCCCCTTCTGTCCTTCCTCTCCTCCTCTACAGTGACGCATTGCAATCCTTCCAGCCCATCCACATGGTGTCACAGAACGCCACCCTCCTCCACATGCGTCCCACCCCTCCCCATCCCCCCGCCCCCCTCTCTGCAGTGACGCCTTGCACTCCTTCCAGTCCATCCGCATGCCACGTGTGCAAGCCGTGGTGTCACAGAACGTCGCATCGTCCAAGAAAATCTATGAAGATAAAGAAGAAGAGGGCACAGAGAGGGAGAGCAGCAAGGGAACTGAAGCAGCAGCAGCAGCAGGTGCAACGGCGGCAGGAAAGGGAGGGGGAGAAGAGCCTGAGTTCTACGAGTACCTGTACTCCTATGACACACTTCCCCTTGAGGGGTCTTAAGTGGTCTTGAGGGTTCTTGAGTGGTCTTGAGTCTGAGTTCTATGAGTACCTGTACTCCTATGAGGCCCTCAGATATCAGGGTTTTTTCCCTGAAATTCCTGATTTTCAGCCTACTTTTTGGTACCTACACTGATTTTTCAGACTTCTGAATTTAGTAACACTGATTTTTCAGCCTTCGTTTCATAGTTAACACTGATTTTCAGCCTTTTATCGAAGTGTACACTGAAAGCACATTCCCAATCTTTCCTGTAAAACTACCAGTTCTCCAACATTTTTACACCATGTACTGTAAAACCTAAAAGATCATAGCCTCAGTGTCTCAGTTGTTAGCGTAATCGCTACTAAAGGATCAGGTCTGGGTTCGGGGCCCTAGCCTGTCATTTTTTGTAAGATTGCATTCATGTCGAAGATATGAAGTGGGTGAATCCAATCACAACAAGATCTTGTCTCAAGCATAGTGAGCGTAATCAGCATCACACCCCTTTGTAATGACACCATTGTTAACACGGGCAGGGACATCACATTACCACACAGCCTTTCCTAAGAAGATCCTCCTCCAAAACCATAACTGTACAGGTCCTTGTCGGGATGGCCCCGGCCTGTTCGTAACGAGACATCTAAGAAGGAATCACAGCACAACATCCTACTCCAGAACCACAATGTCATAACCATACAGCTCCTCGTCAGGATCACGCCCCTCTCTTGCTGCCACTGCAGCCGATGCCGCTTGAACTTCTTCGATCTTTGGCGCTGCTTTCGCCTCACTTTCATCACTACCTGCTGAATTCTCCTCTTTCCCCTCTTCCCCCTCTTTCCCCTCTTTCCCCTCTTCCCCATCTTTCTCCTTGTCTTACACCTTCTTTGTTTGGGCAGTGTTCCGCGCTGACACCGCTTGCACTCGAGACATGCGGATGGATTCGAAGGAGCTAAGAGCATCACTGGGAGGGGGCAGGAGAAGGGGAAGGGGGGTGGGAAAGGGTGGGGATGAATGTGAGTTGTGTTTTAGGGTGTTCCAAATACCCACCCGTGGGCAGAGGGATTGGAAAGAGCGAAGAACGTTGCACTTGAACATGCAAAAACATTCCTGTGGTCCAATACAAATTTCTACGCCTATGGGATTATTTTGTAACAACGGGGGGAGACTGCTATTATTATTATTATTATTATTATTATTATTATTATTATTACTATTATTATTATTATTATTATTATTATTATTATTATTATTATTATTTAACGTCTGAGAGTGAACAATACAAGTTAATCAGCTGTATTGTTCCCCCGGAGGCACTCCACCAGCTGAGTCGCATCCTCAAACGCCAGATTCCCTCCCTGTCCCAGCGCTGGCGTCACTGCATGCGCCACATCTGGACACACAGGCGGGCAGAGGGGACAGAACGAGGGTAGCGGACAGAGGGAAATGCGGGGAAGGCAGAGAGAAAGCAGGAACATGGATAAGTGTGGAGGAGTTGTTTAGATGTATAGAGGCTCTTGAAATATTAAGGAGCCTCTATACATCCCACATCACCAGTGAGACATCTCAAGAATGACTCCTAACTAATAGTTTAAACATACATTGAAGTTCATCCCACACATCACCCTTGTTACCATGTCTTGCCTTGTTCTGACAAACCATACATAACACAGCCACACTTTACATAACAAGGCATACGTAACAAGCCACACATGACATGACAAGCCAAGCGACACGTCATCACCCCAGCCATACCTCCCATGAGCGCTACCCTCCCGTGGACCCAGAAGGGCAGGGGCGGGAGGTCGAGCACGCGACTCTCGCGAATGAGCTCAGGGGAAGTGGCATGGACCAGCTGCTCCACCGCATCCCACCCCTCAAAAGCCTGCAGGATCTTCTCCCGTGCCTCCTCCCCCCCGCTGGATGGCTCGTTGCTGACCGTCGGATCGGCGGAATCAACGAGCGCGAGCGACCAGTAGAGCCTGCCAGCTCCAGCATCGGCAGCAGTTGCAGTGCGGTCGGCACAGAGAATGGTGTTTACCTGACGTGGCTGCACCAGCTGCATCAAGGGAAGGGAAGGCCGGGAATGGGATAGAACCATGGATTTTTTTAGAGACCTAAAAGCTGTCACACAAGGATTTTTTCAGTAGACTCAAACACCGTCACACATAGAAAGCACACAATGCAGTTTGGGTGGGGGGAGTGGGCGCATACGTGGGGGGCAAAGGGGCACGTACTGGATGGGCGATTGTTGAGTCGACTCAAAGAGTCCAAGGTGGCGCTTACTGGGTGGGAGCAGAGAGGCTGCTCTCGATGATGGCCCTCCAATGAGTTCTGCCGTTGTCTTTTGAGTCGACTCAAAAGTCACCTCGTTACAAAGGCACACGACACATTTTGACTCGGCTCAAAAAGGGGCACATACGGGGTGAGGGCAGAGGGAACTGTCGATGATGGCCCTCCAATGGGTTCTGCCGTTGTCTCGCACACTCACTCCCTCGCCCGCTGTCGCCACCAGCAGCTTTTGAGTCGACTCAAAGGGGGCACATACGGGATGGGTGCAGAGGGAACTGTCGATGATGGCCCTCCAATGGGTTCTGCCGTTGTCCCGCGGACTCACTCCCCCGCCTGCTGTCCCCGCCAGCAGCTGCTTCCGTGCCTCCGAGTGAATGCCGTCTGCCTCCAGCAGCGGAGGTGTCTGGCGAATGGGGAGGTTCAGGGAAAGAAATGACAGTCAAGTGCGATGGAGAGGGGTAGAAGTAGGTGCCACAACGAGGGAGAGCATGGGAGAGCATGGGACAGAGTCCCTCAGTGAATGCCGTCCAACCCCAGCAGCAAACGGGATTGGTGGATGGTATGGTAGGGAACAAAAGGAGGGGTGAAGTGCGGTGGAAAGGGGTATGACGAGGCAGAGAGTGGTTGCGGTCGCGGTCTGCCCTCAGCAGGAGGAGAGGACTGGCAGACAGGAGAGAAGAAAAAGAGAAGGTAGTCCCACAGAACTTGATCGTGTGATCAAAAGAGAGCTTCGTTTAGAGTTCTCGAAAACTCTCGTGATCATGTGGTTAATACATTGCTTGTCTTGCCACCTCCTTTCACCCCACACTTTGCCCTCAGCCCACTCCCCCCCACTCACACTGAACCAACAACCACCTTCCTCCTCTCTCCACCTCCTTTCCCCCACTCACCTCCACCTCCAGCAACCGCTCTTCACCACCCGAAACCTCTTTGAACACGCATTTCACCGAGCCACTCCCCTCAGCACCTCCTCCCCCCTCCTTTTCCTCCTCTCCCTGCGTAAACCCCACGAGCCTGTGCCCGGCATGGACGGCATCGTTCGGCAGCATCCCACGCAACAGGTCTAAGACCTCTTGCCAGCGGATGTTCAGCAGGGGGAATCCAAACCAGGCAGTCATGTTGGACCCGAGGTCCCACTGGAAAGGGAGATCGCCGGTTGGAGAGCGGCCGAGAATGGTGGGGTCCGGTACTCCTGGGGATATCAGCTGAGGGAAATCGTGGGCGAAAGGGAATGGGTAAAGGGAGGGAAAGCCTCAAATTGGACGCGAGGTCCCACTGGAAAAGAATGTCGCCTGTTGGAGAGCGGCCGAGAATGGTGGGGTCCGGTACTTCTCGAGATATGAGCTGAGGGGAGGAAGAGATGGAAGGTAATGGGCCACGGGAGGGACAGGAGGCAAGCAACAGCGGATGGACAGCATGGGAAAGCCGAAGTGGGCGATCAAGTTGCACGAGAGATCCCACTAGAAACAGAGATCACCGGTTGGAGAGCGGCTGAGAACGGTGGGGTTTGGTACTGCACGGAATATCAGTTGGAGGAAAGAGGAAAAGGGGAGATCAGATGAATGAACAGGAGAAAATGGTGAAACAGGCGAGGTGAGGAACATTCCAAGCAAAATTTGGATTTTTTAGGTGCCTATAAAAAGACTGGAGAACAATTCGAGCATGATTTGGAGGTTGAAACAGGTGGGATCCAGAAATTGAAGAAATTGCTGGCTCTCACATGCCAGCATCACCATCACATGCATGTATCACCATCAAATGCATGCATCACCATCACATGCATGCATCACCATCACATGCATGCAACACCATCACATGCATGCATCACTCTCACACAAAGCAATAACCATCATCATCAAAGTACAGCAACATCCATCACATGCACACATCACTCGCACATGCCTGGGGCACAATGGCAGGGACGATTCTGCTGAGCGCCCTGAGCCCGTTGGGATAGAGGGTGATGAGGGTTCCCTCGCCTACCACCCCGTCCCGTGCCTCGTATACCTGCACGTGGGGATGTGACATGAGGCATGGCATGGCATGTTGGAATGGCTTTTGGTACATCTCAAAAGCCCACCCCTCGCACCTCATCCCATTTCTCGTACACCTGGATTTGGGAATATGGCATCAGGTGGTGTAGTGTAGCATAGGATGCCGTGGGGCATGGCACGGAATGGCATTGCATGTATGGCATCGCAGGCACGCGAAACACAATTCTTCATGCAGTCGCTTGGATGGTGGTGTGTAGAGTCTAAAATGCCATGAGGCGACCTACACGGATAAGTACGTAACACAGGCATTTCTATCTGCAATCACAGGGCACGACCAGAAACACGACAAAATGTTATATGCAATGGTGACATATGGAACAACCGACGAGTCTGCATGCCAAGCATGTATTGCATTGTGCAGGCACAATGGGAATACAGTAAGGATCAAGCTTCAGAAACAGGGTTGATATGGTCAACAATGCATCATGATGTATAGCTATTCACATGATTATTCCAACGATCACTTTTCTTACCTGATTCCCTCTTCTTTTTCCTGATCTCCACTTTTTTTTCCTGATTTCTAGCGTTTTTTTCCTGTTTCCAGCAAAATTACCTATTGATTCCCGATTCCAGGTAACACCCCACCTGCGCTTCAATCCCAATGTTCCGGAGGCCAATAGCAGTTGCGAGGCCGGCCAATCCTCCACCCACAATAACTGCCTACGACACTGCTGGCCCCCCTGTGCTCTTGCTGCTCGTCGAAGCAGCAGGAGAAGACGCAGAGGCAACAACACTGAGACTCCCAGACTGCCTCGCCGCAAAAAAACGTTTTTGTAAGAGGCTGCTGTCACTGCTGCTGAAGCTTTTATTAATGCTGGCAGAATCACGGCACTCAGCATGTGAGGTTTGATACTTGAAATCAGCTGATAACGCAGGTTCCTGCTCAGAGATGGTGACAGTGTTTTCTGCGAGTCAACGAGATGGACGGTTGAGATGCGTGATGCTCCCGGAACGGTCGACGCGATGTGCGACACGGCCGCCATGATACTACCGGAGCGTTGTTCAATTATCCCGCTCCCACCAAGAACTGAAGTCCTTGAGCTGCTCGTTTCGTATACTATCAAGGAAGCACGAACACTCTTTCACTGACTGGTTGAAAAGGCCGGGTAAGATACTTCTGTGAATGACCCCCAAGCTTAGAAATGTAATATAAGAGGGCTTGCGCAAGCCGTGACTGTTAGTGTCTCCGGACCAGGATGCCAAACCAGCATCCATAACATGATTCGAAGACCAAAAGGCGGCAGGCTCTATAGGGAAAGGACATTCTCGAACCGAGCTGGCATGTGAAATGCCTCACGGCAGGATGGCTGCATTCCGTTTTGTTCGCCATTGCAGTTTCGTTTCATCTCGTCCTTGCATTCGGGAGCCGGACGAATCACAAGCAGCTACGTAACAGAGTAGCTTGGTCGGTAGGACCTGGAAAGCCTTCCACGAATTCATGACTTACCTGAAATTCTGGTTAGGCAACCCTAACTCCTAGACAGGCAGCTTGAAGAACCTGTCATAGGCTCTAGCTGTTTGTTTGAACTATCTTTCCCTTGGCTGTGGGGGGTGTGTCTTGCCTCGGGGAAAACGAGCCTGGTTTGTAACCAGAATTTGTGGTTCCTGGGGCAGAACTGAACTGGCTAAGTAGGTTTTGTTTGCTGTGGTACGGACAGCCGAGCCTGGCTGGAAATGAGGCTCGGGTTTGGGATGCGTACAAGGGTACGCTCCTTTACGAAATGGCGTACTAAGGGAAGAAAAGAAAACAGAGAAATATTTCTTACGTTTAAGACAACAAGACAGGACAGCAATAGGAAAATGAAGGGAAGTGAATGAAGATAAAAATTTACCATATGGGAGCTAAAATGATGCACTCAGATGGGCAAGTATCACCAACGTCTCACACAGTCAATCTCATTCACCGGTTTGAAACACTGTTTTAGAGGCTGAAATATTGAAGCGGACCATTTTTGAAGTGATGGGTTCTAGTTTCTCATATCGAGTTGGAGGCAGCACACCCCCTAGAAAATGAGACGCATTGATATGCATCACTGCGCATGCGCAGCTACGAGTCACACTACACTTGCAGTACAACCATCCCCCTCCCAAGCCGCAACACCCTAGTAACAGTGATGGGATCTTCTCAGCATCACACCACCAGCAGTCAAAACAACAACAAATCATAGCACAAGAGTTGCAACACGAGGATCCGCCCAAGCCATGACGTAATAGCCAAAAAGGTCCTCATTAGTATCATGGCCCCTCGCGTAATGAGACATCTCAAGACAATTCACTGTACAACACTCGCAACACGAGGATCCTCCTCCAGTACCACAACATCGTAGCCAAAAAGGTCCTCATTAGTATCACGCCCCTCTTCTGCCGCCGCCGCTGCCAATGGCGATTGTTTACCTTCAGTCTTTGATGCTCCATCTGCGTCATTTCCATTGCCGCCCGCTTTCCTCCCATTCCTTCCTGCATCATACTGCTTCTTTGTGTGTGTGACGTTCCGTGATATTACCGCTTGCACGCGTGGCATGCGGATGGATTGGAATGAACGAAGAGCGTCACTGGAAGGGAGGAGAATGGATAATGGCCAGGGTGAAGGGTAGTTAGTGGAAATGGATAATGGCCAGGTAGAGACAAGGCAAAAGAGGGGGAGTGGGAGGGCAAGACGAAGGGAGGGAGAGAAGGAGGGTGAGTGGACGAAAAATCATGGGAGTGCAGCATGGCGCAATGGAAACAATGGGAACACCCGGCATGTGATAATCACCTAATGCGGAAATAATGGCATGCCATTAAACCCACCTGCCATGCGACAACACCCACCTGACAACCTACCTGACAACCCACCTCACAAATGCAGCACCCACCTCACAAATGCAGCACCCTTCCTGAGAAATGCAGCACCCACCTGACATGGGTCTTCCCCCGAAGGCACTCCACCAGCTGAGCCGCATCCTCAAACGCCAGATTGGCGCCCTGCCCCAGCCCTGGCGTCACTGCGTGCGCCGCATCTGGTCACACAGGAGGGCAGAGGGCAGGGGGGACAGGAAGAGGGCAGTGCAAGGAAGGCAGGGGGTAATACAGGGAAGGCAGTGGGCAGCGCAGGGAAGGCAGAGGGCAGCGCAGGGAAGGCAGAGGGCAGCGCAGGGAAGGCAGAGGGCAGCGCAGGGAAGGAAGTACAGATATCAAAATGGGAACCAAGAATTGAGGAAGGTTGGCCCCTTGCCCCAATGCAATCAACTACGGATGGTAGCGGAATGTGGTAGTACAGAAACTGCATTCACAAATTGTCTCAAACGTATTCATGTCGGATTCGAAACTGAGAACTATCTCCAGCATCAGGAGGACCGACATGACCAGAAGCAATGCCACGAGCAGCAAACGTTTTATGTCGGATTCGACGTGGAGAACTAGCTCCAGCATCAAGAGGGCCAACATCTCCTGCAGCAGCAGCGCCACCAGCAGCACATTGAGCACAAGAGCACCAGTAGATGTCGGTTTCAAAAGCAAGATTCTTGAGCGAGTTTCTGGATGTAGCTTTCGTCGTTTGGTAATCTGAGAAAGTAGCTTCTGTAGTGCCCCATTCTGCTAACATTCATAGTCGAATGGAAATTTATTTACTGTTTCAAGGAAAAGGAACGTTGCAACACAGTCTCTCCCAGGAGTACCCGTACCTTCCAGGGGTGCCATACCTCCCAGGAGTACCCGTACCTTCCAGGAGTGCCGTACCTCCCAGGAGTACCGTACCTTCCAGGGGTGCCGTACCTCCCAGGAGTACCGTACCTTCCAGGGGTGCCGTACCTCCCAGGAGTACCCGTACCTTCCAGGGGTGCCGTACCTCCCAGGAGTACCGTACCTTCCAGGGGTGCCGTACCTCCCAGGAGTACCATACCTTCCAGGGGTGCCGTACCTCCCAGGAGTACAGTACCTTCCAGGAGTGCCATACCTCCCAGGAGTGGCATACCTCCCAGGACAACCGTACCTCCGAGGAGAGCCGTCCTCCCTTTGACCCAGAAGGGCAGGGGCGGGAGGTCGAGCACGCGGCGTTCAAGGATGAGGTCGGGGGGAGTGGCCTTGACCACCTGCTGCACCACATCCCACCCCTCAAACGCCCGAAGAATCTTCTCCCGCACCTCCTCCCCCCCCTTGGATCGTACGCTGCTGACCGTCGGATCGGCGGAATCAATGAGTGTACATGCCCAGAAGAGTTTGCCTGCTCCACAGTCGGCGGCGGTTGCAGTGCGGTTGACACCGAGTATTGTATTTACCTGACGTGGCTGCACCAGCTGCAGTAAGGGAAGGGAAGGCCGGGAAAGTGAAGGCCGGGAAAGTGAAGGCCGGGAAAGTGAAGGCCAGGAAAGTGAAGGCCGAGAAAGTGAAGGCCGGGAAAGTGAAGGCCGGGTACGGGATAATCAACCAGACAGGGCGTGCCTGCTCCACAGTCGGTGGCGGTTGCAAAACCACAAGTAGCTGCTGCATGGCCGAGTGTGGTGCAGAGTAATTTCATTAATTCTAAACAATTATTGAGAATTCTTAAATCAATCCGTATGTGTTGTGGCTGCAGCTGCTGCCAGAAGGAAGGCCGGGAAAGAAGGGAGAAGGAAAGAATGGGAGATAGTCTAGCCAGCATAGCCCGCCGGCTCTACCTACTAACTTTTGAGTCGACTCAAAAGTCAAGAATGGGAGGATAGTCTACCGGCACAGAGACGTGTAACTGGATACCAAGGGGCACACACAGGGTGGGGGAGGAGGGGCACGTACAGGGTGCGAGCAGAGGGGCACGTACAGGATGCGGGCAGAGGGGCACGTACAGGGTGCAGGCAGAGGCTGCTGTCGATGATGGCCCTCCCGATGGTTCTACCGTTGTCTCGCGCACTCACTCCCTCGCCTGCTGCCCCGCTCAGCAGATGCTTCCGTGCCTCCGAGTGAATGCCGTCTGCCCCCAGCAGCAGCGGGGTCTGGAGGACGGGGGGGGAAAGAAAGGAAGGGGCGAAGAATGGTGTCATCACCCCTCATCATCACCCCACACACCCTTTGCCATGGCCAATGACAAGACACCGAGATGACATTACTTGTCACCTCCCCCCACCCCACCCTTGGCCCTCAACCCACCCTTCCCTCCCTTTCCCCCACTCCGCCATCCCCTCCCCACGTCTCATCCTTAACACAAAACCATCCCCCACCTTCCTCCCCTCTCCACCTCCCATTTCCCACTCACCTCCACCTCCAGAAACCGCTCTTCACCGCCCGAAACCTTCTTAAAAACGCATTTCACTGCGCTGCTCCCCTCTTCCTCCTCTCCCTGTGTAAACTCCACGAGCCTGTGCCCGGTGTGGACGGCATCGTTTGGCAGCATTCCCCGCAGCACATCGAGCACCTCTTGCTAGTGGATGCAGAGCATGGGGAAGCCGTAGCGAGCAGTGATGCTGGACGCGGGCTCAAACCGGAAGAGGATATCACCCGTTGGAGTGCGGTTGAAACCGATGGGGTCCGGTACTCCACGGGAAATCAGCTGAGAGAAAGCAGAGACGAATGAGAATGGGCCAAGGGAAGGGAAGGGAAGGGAAGGGAAGGAAGGGAAGGGAAGGAAATGGAAGGGAAGCGAAGGGAGACAAGCAATAGCGGATGGTGAGCATGGGGAAGCTGAACTGCAGGGCATGTTGCACAAGAGGTTTCCCCCGGGAAAGGAGGTCGCTAGTTTCAGAGGGTTGAGTCAGGTTGGTTTCGATACTCCACGGGATATTAATGGAGGGAAAGAGGAGATGGGGAATTACATAAATCGAGGAGACAGGAAAACCGTGGAAACAGGAGGAAATGAGAAAACAGGAGAGCAATGATGCACAGCACAGCTATTACCGGCTACCATGTGCATGCATCAGCAGCATCACACGGAGCCATAACCATCACATGCCTGGGGCACAATGGCAGGGTCGATTCTGCTGAGTGCCCTGAGCCCGTTGGGGAAGAGGGTGAGGAGGGTTCCCCCGTCTATCACCTTGTCCCGTGCCTCGTATATCTGCACGTGGGGATGGGCATGAGGCACGAGGCATGCTGCATGAGGCATGGAAGAGTTTGAGACGTCTCAAATCCCTCTCCTCGCACCTCTTCCCATGCCTCGTATACCTGCACTGCACATGGATGGTATTCAAAGCGTGGGAGGCGTCTATGCAACGACATATATCTACAGGACAGGAAAGGCGCACAGACATTACCATTTGCAGTCACAGCGCACGGCCAGAAGCACGAAAAACGTGTTATATGCAATGGTGACATTTTACATGCAATGGTTACATGGAATAACGAACCAGTCTGCATTTGAAGCATGAACCTCAAATTGCAACAGGCAGACACAACGGGAATATAACAATGAAGGATCAAGCAATAGAAAACAGGTCTGTTATGGTAACAATGCATAATAATATCTAGCTATTCGCATAAATCCAACAACCTTACCTACCTCCAGATCTTTTACGGTTTACCTGATTCCAGTACCTTTCCCTGATTCCAGCGCTTTTTTCCTGATTCTGGCGTTCTTACCTGACTCCAGCTTCCAGATAACATCCCACCTGCGCGTCAATCCCAATGTTCCGGAGGCCAATAGCAGTTGCGAGGCCGGCCAATCCTCCACCCACAATCACTGCCTCCGACACTGCTGCCCCCCCTGTGCTCTTGCTGCTCGCGGAATCAGCAGGAGAAGACACAGAGGCAACAGCACCCCTCCAACAGCCTCCACGATTGACATTGCGAGCCCCAGACGACCCCGTCGGCGCAAAAAAATGTTCTTTAGAGGTAGAGAGGCTGCTTGTAATGCCCAGGGCTATTATAATGGCGGTTACAAGGCTTTTATAATATTCCAATACAAAATAGTAGCTTTAACTAGCCTTAATAGCCTTGGAGATGAAGATCTTCTTGATGCCTTTGATGAAAAGCACTTGGAGTAGTAGTGTAGGGAGACTTGTGAGAGAGCCCAAAAGGACTTAGAGAAACAATCCCATTTCCAATTGTTTTGTTGGAGTGGGAGGTTGAGAATGAGCTTGCTTAGCTCAGACCCCCTCAATACACCCCTTGGGGAACTATCCCAACCATGGTTTCCATGGTGGGATGGTTCCTAGGCTTGGAGCCTATGTGGCAATTGTGTTGGGTTGGAAAACCCAACTTAGAACCATTCAATGGTTGTGTTTAGGATAGAGTAGATTGTAACACTTGTTTGGCAGTTTCTGATTGGTTGGAATTCCAACCTTCAACATTCTCTTGGTTGAGTTGGAAATGTTCCAAACCTCCAAAGTTGAGGCTTGGCAAACCCAAACCAAGTTTCATCCCAACCAACTCAACCATCTTCTCCAACTCTTCCTTTGTCGAGAGAAGTTCTCAACAATTGACTTAGAGAGAGATCGATGGTTGTTAGCTCGGTAGTTAGGGTAATACGTTACACTCCTCCCCCCCCAGGTGGCAACGTCCCCGTTGCCCTAGGGTGCTTCTGAGGACGAGTGCTTCGAGCACGGCGCACCACATTACGACCAGGGTCAACCCCGTCCACTGGTTGTGGGCCTGCTCGTAGAGCCAGGTCTTCCATATACGCTTGAACCGCTACTTCGGTCAAGTGTTCCTCAGGCTCCCAAGAGTTGTGTTCCGACCCATAGCCTTTCCACTGAATTAGGAACTCACGAACAGTTTTGCGGCCGCGTTGTCGATCACGGTGCGTTAGCACACGCTCGACTTCGTAAAAGAGTTCCTTCTCGAGAGCGATGGTTGGTGGCGGTAAGTACTTGCCTTCTGCAACGTACTTATTCAACAGAGACACGTGGAAGACGTTGTGAATCTGCAATGTCGCAGGCAATTTGAGCCTATATGCGACCTCACCAACACGCGCAATTACCTCGAAGGGCCCAATCCAACGAGGGAAAAGCTTTCGTGCTCCCGGGATCTTGAGACGAATGTTCTTCGTACTCAGTAATACTTTGTCGCCAACTGCAAAAACGACTTCCCGGCGTTTCATGTCGGCATAGGATTTTTGCCTCTGTTGGGCAAGCTGCAGCCAATGGCGAGCGGACTTCAATGCCGCTTGCTGATTTCCAATAAAGTCCTTTGCGGCAGGGATTTTGAGGTTCTTAATCCCATGCGTCGCGGGGGTTGTGGGGTGCCGACCACAGTTCAGGACAAAGGGTTTCTCATGGGTGCTTTCATGCACAGAATTGTTTACAGCGAATTCCACGACTGGCAACAATTCATCCCAATCGTCCTGAGTTGGGCTTATGAAAGAACGAAGCATTTGCTCAAGAGTGCGGTTGGTCCGCTCTGTCTGTCCATCCGTTTGCGGGTGGAACGCAGACGACATCTTGAGTTTCGTTCCGAGTGTCTTAATGACCTCTTGCCAGAACCGGCTTGTGAAGCGTGGGTCTCGGTCAGACACCATCACACGAGGCAAACCGTGTAAGCGGAAAACGTGTGTCACAAACAACTTTGCCGTATCTTCCGCAGACACGTCAGTCGTCGTGGGCACGAAGTGCACCATTTTGGTCAAGCGATCCACAAACACTAGTGTCGCTGTATGACCATCTCGCGTCTTGGGGAGATCGGTGATAAAATCCATCGATACACTCTCCCAAGGTTCATCGGGAATCTCAAGTGGTTGAAGCAGACCACCAGGCTTCTGTGTGCTCGGCTTGTTCCGTGCACACGTGTCACAGCGAGTTACAAACTGCTGGACCTCAATGCCCAATCCCGGCCACCAGTATACATCACTGAGGGCCCACCGGGTTTTCTTGACACCCAGGTGTCCTCCATACTTAGTGGCGTGCACCTCTGCGAGAATATCATTCCGCAGGTTTCCCACATGTGGGACTACAATTTCTTTCTTGTGCCACCAGAGCTCATGCTCCCACAAGAGATTGTTTGTATTCTGTGGGTTCTGAAACCAAGGGTCAATATCATACCCTGCGCGGATGCGTTTCAGAAAACCACCAAAGGCAATCTCGCTCACTCGAGCAGCTGCGAGGATGTTGAAACAAGCAGCAAACACAGCTTCATGTTCCTTATCATCAACACCCGTTGCTGCCCCAATCGGCTGTCTGCTCAGAGGATCAGCCATGTTCGTCGAGCCCGCTCGATATCGAATATCGTAGGTGAACCCACTCAGGAGTTCAGCCCATCGAGCTTGACGGCGGGTGAGTGTGGCTTGAGTGGCAAAATAGGTGTTCGGACAGTGGTCGGTCGTGACCACAAAGTCAACACCTTCGAGATAACATCTCCATGTTCGTAGCGCATACACAACCGCCAACAATTCTTGTTCGGAAGTTGTATAGCGCTGCTCAGCCGGTGAAAGCTTTCTACTCTCAAATGCCACGGGGCGTCCTTCTTGCAAAAGAACTGCTCCAATCCCTACTGTCGAGGCATCAGTTACCACCTCGTAGGGCTTGGACGGGTCTGGCAAAGCCAGCACTGGAGCATTGGTCAGCATGGTTTTCACCTCCTCAAATGCCTTCTGGCATTGATCGGTCCACTGCCAAGCATTACCCTTACGAGTGAGGGCAGTCAGTGGGGCGACTACGGAGGAATAAATTTCCAAGAAACGGCGAAAATAGTTCGCAAGTCCAAGAAATGATCTGACCTGTCCCACGTCCTGTGGAACGGGCCACTGTTGGACTGCCGCCACTTTCTTTGGATCAACTTTGAGGCCATCGTTGCCTACCAAGTGACCAAGGTATTCCAACTCGCGTTTGTAGAAGTGACACTTCCACAATCGAGCAAAGAATTTATGCTCTCGCAGTTTTCCTAACACCCATTTCAGGTGTTGCGTGTGTTCTTCTTCGGTCTTCGAGTACACGAGGATGTCATCCAAGTATACCAGGACGAATTGGCCGATTGCCTCCCGAAACACATCATTCATTGCTCGCTGAAATGACGCGGGAGCATTTGTCAAGCCAAAACTTAACACACGCCACTGAAAATGCCCGAACGGCGTTCTGAAAGCCGTTTTTGGAACATCTTCTTCGGTGATTCGTAGCTGATGATACCCCTGAGCTAAGTCCAGCGCACTGAACCACTGAGCTCCCTGGAGCCGATCGAACAGATCCTCAATTCGTGGTAGAGGGTATCTGTTCTTCACCGTAATCTTGTTCAAGGCACGATAATCTACGCACATGCGTAATCCTCCGCCCTTCTTGTTAACGAACAAAATTGGTGCTCCGTAAGGGGATGCACTGGGTTCAATCCATCCTTTTCTGAGGTATTCCTCGATCTGTTGTTTGGCCTCTTCGTACTCAGCTGGACTGAGGCAATACAGAGGTCGAAAGGGTGGAACCTTTCCTGGTTCAACAGGGATGGTGTGACCCACTGCGCGGTCAGGCGGAAGTCCAT